AGAGGAGAGGAGAGGAGAGGAGAGGAGAGTCAGTGAGAAAGTTGGCCAACACATTAGAGAAGAGAGAGAGACAGACAGATAGAAAGACATGGGAGGAAGGCAAGCAACTCACCACCTGGAGTCATCCTCCTAGATGCAACCTTCCGCTGTGTAGCAGACACCACTCCTGGCCAGAGAAATGAGCAGACCCTGAAAATGAGGACCTTGCTCCCCTCATAACCACAGCTAGTCAAGAACATTTTCTTACAAACCCAGCCCCAGCTCATGTGGCATCCCTAGCAGGAGCAAGGTGGGCTGTTAACACAGCAATCACCAAACCAGACACTTATCTCACTGAGAGTGGCGGCCGTTCCCCTCCCAGTAGGACGGCTTTTGCGTGGCATCAACAATGCTCACGGTTTCGTTGCTCTGGCTCGCTTTCCATCACATGAGGGCTTGAGACTCTGAGGCGTGACTTCTTTTCCCTCGGTCCTAAACCCAGCACAAGGCGAAAAAACAAATCCGTTACCATCTCAGTTGGCAAGATCTTGTCCCTTCCCCAGCCTTAATCCCAGAGCCTCGTAACTAACAAGGAAGCACATGGCCTGTCAAGAAAACTACAGCGACTACAGATGAGGAATTCAAAGCACTGACCTCTTACTCACAGCCAGCGATGCAGAAGGCAGAAATATGAGGACTATTCATGTCTCCTTAGAAGGATGTCCAGACTGCTCAGGTCCACTTCTGCCATATTCTTGTCCGGCTAGGGCTCCTGGACGATTCCTCTGCAAACTAATAAAGTCAAGCAAGTACTATCACTACACAGAGCTCTATTGGTGCGTCGAGTCTTGCCCTCATCCCTGCCTCCCTCTCCAGTCCCATCTACATCAGCCCCACTCGATGAACAGAGACCGAGTAAACACAGACAGTCACAGCTCCACTTTAGCGCCCACTGCCCCGCATGGTTTTCATCCGCTCCGACTTCTCCGTGGCTCCCAAGACATGGCTAGGATGCACACCTAGCACGGATGCCCGTGGTCCTACGAAGGGAGACGGCATGAGGATAGGAGAGGAAAGAGAGTGAGAAAGTTGGCCAACACACTAGACAAGAGAGAGAGAGAGAAAAAAAATGGGAGGAAGGGAAGCAACTCACCACCTGGAGTCATCTTCCTGGATGCAACCTTCCGCTGCCGAGGACACACCGCATCTCGGCAGAGAAATAAGCAGCCCCTGAAAATGGGGACCTTGTCTCTCTCATAACCACAGCTGGTTAGGAACCATTTCTTACAAACCCAGCCCCAGCTAACGGGCCGTCCCTACCTGGGGCCAGGGGGGCCCTAAGCAGAGCCCTCACCAAACCAGACATTTATTTCACTGACAATAGCGACTGCTCCACTGCCAACTGGACGGCTCCTGACTTGCATCAACAATGCTCGCGGGCTCACGGCTCTCGCTTGCTTTTCATCCGACGAGGGGAGTAAACTCTGACGTTTGATTTCTTTTCCCTCGGTACTAAAACTGGCACAAGGAAGAAAAACAAATAAGTTACCACCTCAGTGGGCGCGTCGCATAGGCTATTCTTTTCGCCTCTCCCACACGGCAGCGTCCCGCCCCAACCCCTCCCTCCCATTACCCCTTTAGCATTACAACTAAAACGCACCCCTTACAATGGCATCCAATATAATCACTCTACCCAGCAGACTCTGGCCCCTCCCCAGCCGTAATCTCACAGAGTCCCGTACCCAATGAGAAAGCACACGGCCTGTGAAGAATACTACAGCGAGCACAGATGACGAATTTAAAGCACTGATCTCTTACTCACAGCCAGTTATGCGGGAGTCAGAAAGCTGAGGACTGTTCATGTCTGCTAACAAGGGTGTACATGTCTGCTTACAGGGATGTCCAGTCTGCTCATGTCCACTTCTCCCAGTTTCTCCTCGAGATAGGGGTCCTGGAAAATTCTTCTGGAAGCGCAGCTGCAAAAGCCAAGCATGAGCCATCACTACACAAACCTCTATTGGTGCTTCAAATCTTGTCCTCATCCTGGTCTCCCTCTCGAATCCCATCTACTTCGGCCCCACTCGATGAACAGAGACCACGGTAACACCGACAGTCACAGCTGTGCATGATTTTCATCCCCTCCTACTTCTCCATGGCTCCAGAGACATAGCCTGTGGGGATGTACACGTAACAGGCCTGCCCGTGTCCTACAAAGGGAGATGGCATAAGGACAGGAGAGTAGAGTCAGTGAGAAAGTTGGCCAACACACTAGAGAAGAAAGAGAGAGACAGACAGATAGAAAGACATGGGAGGAAGGAATGCAACTTGCCACCTGGAGTCATTCTTCTAGATGCAACCTTCCGCTGCGTAGGAGACACCGCTCCTGGCCAGAGAAATGAGCAGACCCTGAAAATGGGGGCCTTGTCTCTCTCGTAAGCGCAGCTGGTCAGGAACAATTTCTTACAAACCCAGCCCCAGCTAACGGGGCGTTCCTACCTGGAGCCCTCACCAAACCAGACACTTATCTCACTGACAGTAGCGACAGCTCCACTGCCAAATGGTCGACTCCTGACTTGCATCAACAATGCTGGGAGGCTCACCGCTCTCGCTCGCTTTCCATCCGACGAGGGGAGTAACCTCTGACGTTTGATTTCTTTTCCCTCAGTACTAAACCCGGCACAAGGAGGAAAAACAAATAAAGTTATCATTTCAGTGGGCAACGTCACGTAGGCTATTCTTTTCGCCACTCCCACACGATGGCGCTCCGCCACGAATCTTCCTCCCCCACCCCATTACGCCTTTAACATTACAACTAAAAAGCACCTCTTTCAACGGCACTCGAAATAATCACTCTGCACAGCAGACTCTGGCCCCTCCGCAGCCTAATCTCACAGAGACCCGTACCCAACGAGGAAGCACATGGCCTGTGAAGAATACTACAGCGAGCACAAATGAGGAATTAAAAGCACAGACCGCTTACACACAGCCAGTTATGCGGAAGTCAGATAGCTGAGGACAGTTCATGTCTGCTGACAAGGATGTCCAGTCTCTCCATTCATGTCCACTTCTGCCACTTTCTCCTCGGGCTGGGGGTCCTGGAAAATTCCTCTGGAAGCGCAGCTGCAAAAGCCAAACATGAGCCATCACTACACAAAGCTCTACTGGTGCTTCAAATCTTGCCCTCATCCTGGCCTCCCTCTCCAATCCCATCTACCTCGGCCCCATTAGATGGACAGAGACCGAGTTATCACCGACAGTCACAGCTCGACTTTAGCGCCCACGGCCCTGCATGATTTTCTTCCACTCCTACTTCTCCATGGATCCCGAGACCTGGCCTGTGGGGATACACACCAACCAGTGTTCTACAAACGGGAATGAGGAGAGGAGAGAGAGAGAGTGTGTTGGCCAACATACTAGAGAAGAGAGAGAGAGAAAGAAAAACATGGGAGGAAAGCAAGCACCTGGAGTTATTTTCCTGGAGGTAACCTTCTGCTGCAGAGGAGACACGGTTCCTGACCAGACAAATGAGCAACCTCTGAAAATAAGGACCTTTTAGCCCTCGTAACCACAGTTAGTCAGGAACCTTTTCATACAAACCCAGCCCTACTGTACTAGGCTTCCCAACCTAGACTCAGGTGGAGTCTGAGCAGAGCCCTCACCAATCCTGACACTTATCTCACTATCAGCAGCGTCTGCTAGGCTCCCAGATGGGACAGCTTTTGCGTAGGATCAACAATGCTCAGAGTCTCGATGCTCTGGCTCGCCTTCCATCGCATGAGGACAGTAGACTGACGCTTGACTTCGTTTTCCTTGGTACTAAACCTAGCAGAGGGGGGAAAAAACAAAAAAATTAGCATCTCTGTCTGCAATGTCGCATAGTCTCTTCATTTCACATCTCCCATATCCCAGGGCTCCACCCTCAACCCATCTCCCATTACTACGTTACAACTGCAACTAGAAGGCACCCATTGTAACAGCACTCAAAATACTCACTTTGCTCAGGAGACTCTTGTCCATTCCCCAGCCTTAATCCCAGAGCCTCGTAACTAACAAGGAAGCACACGGCTTATGAAGAATACTTCAGCAAGCACAGATGAGGAATTCAAAGCACTGACCTCTGACTCACAGCCAGCGATGCAGAAGGCAGAAACATGAGGACTATTCATGTCTCCTTAGAAGGACGTCCAGGCTGCTCAGGTCCACTTCTGCCATATTCTTGTCCGGCTAGTGCTCCTGGACAATTCCTCTGCAAACTAATAAAGCCAAGCAAGAACTATCACTACACAGAGCTCTATTGGTGCGTTGAATTGTGCCCTCATCCCTGCCTCCGTCTCCAGTCCCATCTACATGAGCCCCACTCGATGAACAGAGACCGAGTAAACACAGACAGTCACAGCTCCACTTTAGTGCCCACTGCCCCGCATGATTTTTCGTCCGCTCCAACTTCTCCATGGCTCCCGAAACCTGGCCTGTGGGGATGCACACCTAGCAAGCCTGCCTGTCTCCTACGAACGGAGACGGCACGAGGAACGGAGAGAAAAGAGTGAGAAAGTTGGCCAACACATTAGAGAAGAGAGAGAGAGAGAGAGAGAGAAAAATGAGAGGAAAGCAAGCAACTGACCACCTGGAATCATCTTCCTGAATCCAACATTACTCTGCGGAGGAGACACCGTTCCTGACCAGAGAAATGAGCAACCTCTGAAAATAGGGACCTTTTCTGCCTCATGACCACAGCTAGTCAGGAACCTTTTCATACAAACCCAGCCCTACCGTACTGGGCTTCCCTACCTGGACTCAGGTGGAGCGTGAGCAGAGCACTCACCAAACCAGACACTTATCTCACCGACAGCAGCGTCTCCTCGGCTCCCAGATGGATGGCTTTTGCGGGGCATGAACCATGCTCAGAGTCTCTCTT